ATAAAAATATTAAATATATATAAACAATAGATAAAATCAATTAACTGTAAGAGAAAAGTACCACTTATGATCGAGATTAGATGTTGGAATAATATATTTGTGTATTTAAATAATTTATCTCAGATATATGATTACGCTCAGATATGATTACCTTTCAGACTTTCAACGCAATCAAATTAAAATTATAATAATCCCCCAAAGAGTTGATGCTTCTAGTATCTTAATATATTTAAAGAACTTATTGCGAAAAATATAACCTATTAAATACAAAATAATGCTCAAAGGATAATCATAATACTGACTTGATTAGTTGTTATTACTTTCATGTATGTTATTTACTTTATTTTGTATTTTTCCATTTAAGATAATAATTTAACAAATATTTAAAAATTATTAAGAAATTATTAAGAAATTATTAAGAAATTATTAAGAAATTCTTATTCTTTACTGTTTACTACCACTTGTTGCTATGCTTTTCATAGTGTATCTGACATTTTGAATTTAATTATTTTTCTTCTAGACTTGCATTGTAATTGGTCGAAAAATTTCGCTTATTCTCCTCTCATTTCATTTACGTTCATTCCGAATCGACAGAAATGGTCGGAAAGCCGATTCCGTTTGGGGTCCATGATAGCATATGAGCGGAATCGCGGTCGGAAACTCGCCAAATCTCAATTCCGATCGGAATCGCAAAATCTTCATAGGTACCCTGAAATGATAATGGAATCGACATCGATTCGACATAAATTTGATAATTTTGATGTGGAATTGATATCGATTTCGATGTCGATTTCATTGTAATTTCTCACTGGGTCCGGACTAATTAGTTAATTTTTGATGATTTTAGATTTACTACATTCATTGTACTATATCTACTACACCCACTACACCTGGACATTGTTAGTTTTTGCAATATGTGTAAATTTATTGAATTTATACAAAATAGCGACTTTTCTCAAATGAAAATAACAATGAAGACGTCTTCCCCAAAATGATTTCTAATCAATTCCATTCATAAAACACATTAAATAAAATCCCTGTTTGCTACCTTGATGCATAAAAAATTGTTAATAACAAGAAAAATTACCAACCCAAATGTTTAAATATTTTTCCTAAATTTTCTTAAACAATTTCCAAATTATGTAGACATAAATAAATCAGAAATATTCAATTTGTCTGCTATCTTGTCAGTAGTGCTAATCTTGTTCTCCGTACATAATCGGTCGCACGGCCAACAATAGGGCGCACCAATCAATTTCTTTATAAAAATTATGCATTTCGCGGTTTCTTCCATGTTCAGATCCATTCTTGAAATGCCAACATTTCGTGAACCTTGCAGTTCATCACTTCATCAAGGTGAGGAACAGCCTGGATCCGTGGAAGTCTCAAGAATACAATCAATTTCTTCTATTATCAATTCTAGTATTATCGTTAAATATAATCTAAAGAATTTAAGCAACTTCGTTCTTAATAGGTGTTCACACATAGCAAACATGGCGGTCGTTTAGACGTCAGATCAAAAATGCCGACACAAAATGAACCATTGTTTCTATTTATACTATGCCTTAAGGAACTGATAGTTAATTATAGTTGATTAAGAGACAATTTCATAGTGTCGCTTGTTGCAGCGATAAATTAGAGTCCCTCTAGTAAGAGTCAAAATCATAAGAGGCACCGATCTGATTGGTCAGATTTCGATTTTTTTTCTCTTTAAATGCCGCCATTTGCAAATATTTTCGATGTGAATCTGTAAATTGGGTGAACAACTGTTTCATGATGTAGAAGGCACGAACGCGAAATTGGACTATCAACTGTCAACCATAGTCGAATTGTGCTGTTTCCGATCGGTATCCGATACTTGATAATGGCGTTCTTCCAGCCTTAACTCTTACTAGAGGAACTCTACGATAAATGATGTGACTGAATTCTCCTCGATTTGTCCACTTTTTTATCGCCAGCGACACAGTTGAAAAGTTGGATTAATCCAACTTTTAGCGACATCACTCTTATGCAAAGATTTAAACGTGGAACAACAAGATATAAGTATAATATTTATTTAAGTTATATTTCAAAACATCATTTCCGAGAAAAATTTTACTCGAAATATATATGATATGTAATGTATACTACAGTATTTCGAGTAAAATTTTCCTCGGAGAAGACGTTTTGGAATGTAGCCTTAGAATATGTCATCAGAATGGATGTCATCGCAAAACTTGATAAAAATATATTCATTTGATATATTTTCATTCGAAATGAAAGAATGTAGTAAAATTAACTAGAAAAATGTGACAGTCTGCTTTAGCGATTATTCAAGTTAGAAAAACGAGTTTTCTTTATCTGAATAGTTATTAGAATTACGTAATGTAAATGTCACTCGACTGTTCTCGTATATTATCTTATTATCTAATATTAAACACAAAGATAAAATGATACGTGAGACCATTCGGGTAATATTTCCAAACGTAGCCCAACTCTAACATTTAATAACCCATTCAGAAATAATTCTAAATTTCTCGAAAATACATCATTTCGATGTCGAAAATAAAAGTCGAAAGTCTTCGAAATTTCTATTAATTTCGACGGATTTTTGGCTCCAATTTTGAGCCAATTAATAATTTTCGAATTGGAAATAAAATCTTGAATTGGTCTAGTCAACATAAAATAAAAATATACCACTAGTGTCACTAATAATAAATAAATTTGACAAATAATGTCACTAATAGCGTAATAGTAGAGAAAATTTCATTAAAGTTTCATTGAAATTTTATTATGAAAATAAATATTATTGATTAGTATATTTTAGAGGACACACGACAAAATTATAATAAAAAAAATTTATTTTACGAATTTGAGAATTAATTTTATGATGCGCGATCACGTATCCGAACCTCTACTTATCATGCTTCATTTCTGTGATATGAGAACTGCTCCTTCAAAGAATCATGAACGCCTATAATGCTAATGGATGTATTGTTGTAACATATCTGTTCAAAGATATTGTGAAAGAGGCGAAACATACATAAAAAAATTAATTAATATTAAATATAGTAGTAATGTACAAATAATGACATCTATGATAATAACTTGTTTTTAATAATACTGTAAAATATTATTTTTATTAGTTGAAATAATACTACTTGCTCTAATGATATATATGTGCGTGCATGCGCGCGCGCGCGTGTGTGTGTGTGTGTATTTTTTATCCTAATAAATTTTTTACCAAATATTTTATACCAAATTATAATATTATAAAATACAATATTACAATTGAACTGAAAGTAGTTCTATGTTATGTCATATATCGTTTAAATAATATTACTGGTTCAGCATTGACACTATTACGTATCAGTAGTAATACTACTGCAGTAACAGACACTAGTAGTATTTTTATACTTCCAAATGACGTTGGAAACGTCATTTCACTAATTTAAAAAGAGATTCATTTCGATATCGATTCGAGCTAGAATTAGTCTAACTAGAATTAGATAGAGTCGATAATATTTTTCCTTGATTTTATGTT